CTGGGAAAGTGCAAGAAGGGAAAGCCACTTGTTCCAACCCCCCAGCTCCCCACTGCATTTATCCCAGCCTGATCCCAACCTCCTGCTGAAGCATCCTGTAGCCCTCCCCTGCTCCAGACACAGCTCTAGATGTCTCTTCAATATTCATTTGCTAATTTGGTCTGTTAGCTGCAGCCAGTTGTCTGTGATCTGTCTGAGACCTAATTTTCAAGCTATACTGAGTTGTCTTCAAGAATGTCCTTGTCGGGCTGGGAAAGTGGCTCAGTGGTAGAGCGCTTGCCTTGCATGCTCAAGGCCCTGGGTTCGATTCCTCAGCACCACATAAGCAAAAAGAAAAAAGCTGGAAATGGCTCTGTGGCTCAAGTGGTAGAGCACTAGCCTTGAGCTGAAGAGCTGAGGGACAGTGCCCAGGCCCAGAGTTCAGGCCCCACGACCGGACCAAAAAAAAAAAAAAAGAATGTCCTTGTCCTCCCTAAAACTCAGCCCCCTATACAGGAATTTGTGGAAGACTTGAACAGGGCCTTGCCTGTGTAAAGCTGTCAGTAGATTGGCCCAGGGCTTTCCAGCTTTCTGAGATTTGGCTCTTCTTTGCTTTTTACCTCTATCTCCTTCACAAGACTTGGGATGGAGAAAAGCGCAGAGCCTTCCAGTGAAGTATCTTTTCTCAGCATGGCATCTGAAGATGATAGAAATCCAACCAGCTATGACCGCCATCATGAAATAGGTAATTGTCCATTCACTTGGAAGAGTCTACCAAAAATTGCTTATGCCGATCTTAATCACTTGATGAACTAGTATGCTTACTAGAAGTAAAGACATGAGTAAAAACACCCAAGACCTTCTTGTTTTTGTCAGGATTTGTTTTCTTTATGCACTCACTTCTAAGAGAGTTCTACAAGCTCCACTACCCTGCCTGTTTCAATTTCAAAGCAAAATGCCTCCCAAGCATCAGTTAACTCAGAAAAGTAGACTAAAGAGGGACTGGACAGAAATTCTTAGACCAGTCAAGAGTAGTACCTCTCCTTACCTGGTGATCATTCTGCCTGGTGAAAGGGACTCCCTCAACTGGAAACCACTGACATCCAAACCCATGGAATTTTAGTTTGCAGATGTGGCACATGGGGTGTCATGGAGGCAGAGATCCATTGCCAAAATGAGCAACTGAGTGAGGTACAAGCACTGGATACACAGTTGAGGCCCTCCACATTAGATATGGACCTCTGCGGCAGGTGATCCTAGCTAAGGAAGTCCCTCCTGCTTGAGAAAAGCCATCAATAGCAAAGAAATGACTATGCTTGCAAAGTAACCTCTTTGTAGATGGCTTCACCCAAGCTAATGTACCAGTTCCACTGGCCTCACCCAAGCTAATGTACCAGTTCCACTGGCCACATTCTGCAGCAATGTCCATAGCCCCATGTGCTACCACAGCAGGGCCCTGGGACACGTTCATGGCCATTATCAAGGGCCAGCAGGGTTAGGGTTCATTGCCATCCCAAGATAGTCAAGTGTAAAGGTCATTGGTCACTTTTCAGTATTTTTTTTATTTTTATTTTTAATTTTAGTTTTTGTTCCAGCACTAAGCCTTGAACTCAAGACCTGGGTTCTGCCCTTTAGGTTTTTCACTCAATGTTGGTGCTCTACCATTTGAGCCACAGCGCCACTTTCAGCTTTTTGCTTGTTAATTAGAAATGAGAGTTGCACAGACTCTCTTGCCCAGGATGTCTTTGAACTGCAACCTTCAGATCTCAGCCTCTTGAGTAACCAGGATTATAGACATAAGCTACTTGTGCCAGGCTCATGCCTCTAATCCTATAATTCATTGAGCCAACCTTATTGGTCCTTGCTACATCCAGTGTTGTCCAGAGCCCCGCAGGATGGGAATCAGGCAGGAGGGTGGTTGAATGCAAATGTTCAGACCTTGTCATGTAACTTCCATATCTGCGTCTATACCTTAGCAAAATTTCCAAATGACCAGGAACACTAGAGCTGAGACGTCATATTGTGAATAACAGCAAAGGGACAAGATTCTGGAGTCTTTTTTGGGGGGGGGTTCCAGTCATGGGGCCTGAACTCTGGGCCTGGGCACTGTCCCTTAGCTCTTCAGCTCAAGGCTAGCGCTCTACCACTTGAGCCACAGCACCACTTCCGGCTTTTTTCTTTTTGCTTATGTGGTGCTGAGGAATCAAACCCAGAGCCTCTGGCATACAAGGCAAGCACTCTACCATTGAGCCACTTTCCCAGCCCAATTCTGGAGTCTTGAGGTCCACAAGCTGGTTGGGAAGATGTGATTTATAGAATACACCATCATCAAACACATTCCTCTAGGAAACATATATTCAAAACCAAGTCCTGCCTCAGCCATTTACTCACTCTACTGAGCTCAACATCCTCATTTTGAAAGTGGAGACAACACTTGCTTTGTCTTCCTTATAGAAAACATAGAGAATGCAAGAAAGCAGTATACTGGTAGAAGTCACTGTTTAATGGTAGAAACTCTGAATGTTAGAGAAGTTTATATATGAGGGAATTCTGAATGGCTGGACAGTCTAGGAAGATCTAGCAGAAGAGTCTGGGGAGGCAGACGTATAGAGCTGTCTACTAAACCAGGCAGTGGAGTAAAGCAGAATGGAAAATATGCAATTCAACCATGGCATCAATACAGCCAGTAATCTGGGCCACAAGGAGCTTCCATTGCCCAGTAGATATCAACTAACTCCTGAAGGAGTCTGCTGAATGTCAACACCATGGGTCTCAGAGACAGTCAATATTCATGGGCTGCTTTACAAGATACACAAAGCAAACAGAGGTCTTTGTGGAAAGGCTGGCAAGAAGCCCAATTACTGCAAACTTCCCTCCAGATGGAGACACAGGAAAATGGATATTCTGTCATTTTTGTGGAACTGATCTGCAAAGATGACTAGACACTGCAAGAAAGAAGAATTAGGGAAAATAAATTAATGGGTGAGTTCATGTGTAATAGATTCCCTAGAAAATTCTTACACATGTTTGTTAGTTAGTTTTCGTTTAATCCTTACTATGGCCCCAGCCAAAAAGGGGCTCTTGTCCTCATTTCCTAGATGAGGAAACTGGGGACTTGGGATTTGAACCCAGGTTGCTTTCCTTTCCAAAGTCTGTGACGTTCACTGCAAGCTACACTGCTGAGGTAGTCAAAATCCCTATCCCTGGCCTTCCTTGTGCAAAATGGAAACAGGGTAGCTGTGAAACCTGCTCTCTCTGACTTGCTGAGCTTCTCCAGAGAAATGTTGTCTTCTGGCAGGAAAAGATAAAAACAACTGATAGGCATGAGTCACACACTTGCTATAATTAACAGTGATGCAAGAGCCAGATGCAGAATAGAGGGGCCTGGAGACGCAGCTTTTAGACTTCCCTAACTTTGAGCTGCCTTTCAGCACTGAAAGAATCTCCATGACTAAGCTTCTGCCAGCTCAAAGCACTTTTAAATGCAGACATGAAATTTAGAAAGCATGCTAGCTCCAAGAGAATGAAGCTGAGCAAGCCACACCAAATTTATCTCTTTATTTACAATGTAAAACCATGTACCAGAACCATGAAGAGTTTACAGCTTATAGATAATGTAGATCTTTGCCTTCACACTCAGCTGTTTTGGGAAGTCTAAGCTGTTTTCCACCTGCTAAGATAATTTATGGAGAATACAGTTGTAAATTCAGTTGTATTAGGTGGTCAGCTTATAGGCTTCCTGATCTTAGGAATGGACCAGTACTTTCCAAAAAGACCAGTTATTATTAGCACCTCTTTATTCTCCTTTTTGCTGGTGTCAAATTAGGAGTGATACAATGATGATCCAATTAACATAAGCCATAGATCACAATTCCCTTCCCACCACACCATCCACACTCCCATCCAACCACAGTTTGTGTATATTCACCTCTTATGCAAGGTGGAGGTGGCCCCTTCTGCTTCTAGAACACAGTTCCCACCTGAGGTCTAACACAGCAAACTAAATTATCATCAGGACCTGGATGGGTTCACGAGTGGCTATTGGGATCAGAGGCATCTTTTTATCTGTTTAAATGAGGTTTAGCTGGATACTGATGAATAACAACTGTATAAACTCTGAGGATCCTAATTCAAAGCCAACCTGTGAAGTAAAGTCTTTGAGACTCTTTATGTCCAATCAAGACAAACAAAACAAAAATAAAAAACAAAAGTGAATCTGTGTATCAAGTGGTAGAGCACTAGCCTTGAGCAGAAATGCCCAGGGACAACAGACCCAGGCCCTAAGTTCAAACATAGAAACAAACGAATAAATAAAATAGGTTTAACTGGCCTTCAAAGTTGAATGAAATAGAGCTAATAGAATCTTACCACTTCCTTTTTTCAACAGACTTTAATGGAGAGCAAAGTGAAAAAATGCAGGTTACATTTTTGTTGTGTTGTTATCAATACACTGTAAGATTAATATCCAGACAGTGATGCAGCTAATATTTAAACATTCCCTAATTTTAGTTGTCAAAGAGAAAAATCATATTCAGATACAGATATTTACACAGCAATTTCAAGCAACAGTAAATAATAAACTCCCTCCCTTAAAAAAAAAACAAAATGCACACATACACATACATACACACACACAATCATCTTTAAACAATGGATTTCCTTCACAATAATAGATCTTATTTTTTCCCACATATACTTACAGAACCAAAGTTACTTAAGTTACTTAAGGACAGTCTTATCAGTGAAGAGCCTGGACCAGCCCCTATTTTCTTTTAAAGACACTTTACTTTTTACAAGTTGAAGACACATAACTAGTGTGGTCTGTGTATTTGAAGACACCCAAGTGATACAAATAAATTCTACATCTCCTGTATAAGGAGAAAAACACATCTCTGAAAAAATGTGCCTTGGGTTTGGAGGCATGGCTCAGTTGGTAGAGCATTATTATCCACTGAGCAAAAGCATCAGGTACCAAGTTCAAGTCCTGGTCTCAGACCATTAAAAAAAAAAGAAAGAAAGGAAAGAAAGATGCGCCTAATTACAAGTCAAAAAAAAATCAAACCCACAAAAATCTCAGGTCTTCAAACACAGTTTCTTAAGAGCATCATGTTAATATTAACACTGAATTAACAAAACAGTAAGATTCTTCTCGATTTCTATACAGAGGTACTGGTTAGTTCCAATTCTTTGTTCAGTGATTTGAAATGCATGACTTTTGAGTGTTGAATGTCACATCCTGCCTTCCAGGTTAGCAGCCCACTTCAATGTTAGATGAGACGTCCCCTCAATGCCTCCCTCTCTGATTTCTTACCAGAGCCGTTAGTAAATGGCAACCATGACAAAGTTTACGTTAGCAGACGCACATGCACATCTTCTACCTATAAATATCCTGTGATGGCAATTGCGCCATCACTTCATTTCTAGTAAAAATGAGTATAAAGGAAGAAGAGGAAGTTAAGGGGACCTTATTAACAATGTTTTCTTTGTTTTTTTTCTTACAATGGAGAATCCAAACCCAAGGACCGTGGGCTGGTAACTAACCAGACACTTGTCAGCCACTTTTCCAGGCCTGTGAGTCAATTACAAGTTGGCAAATCAGAGACCAACTCCTCTAGGCAAACCTGGTAGAATCCAGTGGTATCGGTCGTGTCTTGTCTTGGAAGTTGGGTGAAGGTCAAGGGCCACTTTCTTCAAAGACCAGATTTGAAAGTAGTTCACACACAGTCCTGCCTGGGACACCAAACTGTCCCCAAGTTATGCCCTTCAAAGTGCCAGCTGGAGTTTGGTCATGTTTCTCTGGTGCATGTTGTGATGACGGACTAATTCATCTGACCGGGCAAACTTTTTCTGACAACTGGGCCACCGACAGCTGAAGGGCTTCTCACCTGTTGACACAATTGCTAGTCAGAGATATTCGTAATGGAGTGACCGGGCCCAAGTTTAACTAGCAAAGGCCCCTGTTAAATCATCACAGGCTCTTGCCTCAGATTCCTATAGGTCTTTCCCCTAAGCTAACAAGTGGATCATAGCCTGGGCAGCCTGGGTTGGCAGCACCTTTGGAGGTGGGAAGGGTTCTAATAATAGGACTCCTATCATAATTATAAAACATTAAATCAGAAGACTTGGGGAATGGGAGAGAAGGAATAAATCTAGTTCATGGAGCTGTGTGGAAAAAAAATTAAAGGAGAAACTGTGTTTCGATCTACTGTTAGAATGTTTGGGGGACTGTGGACGTTACCTCAGTGTTGTCTAAGTGGGGAATTCTGGATCAGCATTCTGGCTATTCCTAATCAATCCCTGTCCAGCAGTAGAGCTGCGACTAGCTTTACTAGCTCCATGCAGATATTTTCAAATAAGTTACAGATACCAGTGTATATGATATTGCCATAAAGTGTGTCTCTGCGAATCATCTGTTACATGGAAAATTTTAGTAGAGGTATGGTTCTGCTAAAAAAAAAAAATCCAGGCTCCTCCATTTAAAGAGCCCTCATTAGGGATAATAACTAGCCTAATTTTATGCCATCTTATACTGTACTGGATATCACAGCGTGTATTGCTTCGTGTACTCCTTATAATAGCTCAAAAGAGAAAAGGCTATCTCCATTCTACAGATGAGGTTGGATGTCTGGTGAGGACCAAGGTAGGACTCAAGTCCAAGCTTGTCTAATTCTAAAGTCCACACTTCTCTTGGCCTATCCTGAGGAAAACACCCCAGGAGCCAAATCAGGGTATGTTCCCAGGACACTCAGTGCTGGTCCCATTTAACTTTCTCTCACAACTGGTCAGGGCACACACTGAGAAATGTTCAGGAAGATGTGGTGTCCTGGGGACGGGCTGGGGGCTGGTCAAATATAGTATCAAACAGTTTGCTAGTGACCTGGGTCACTCTGGACATAAGCAGGGAATGAGTTGTACAGGAACAACACTTTCCCATCACCCTGTTAGCTAAGGGAGGAGAGCAAGACACCCATCTGACAATGTTTGAACACAGTTGCCTTGACTCTGTCTTTAAATGGGCAAGGATCTGGGACTGCCCAAGAGCTTATAATGTCATGTTTCTCTTCGCCTCCTGGTCATTGTCCCTCTTCTCTTCCTCATCTGGCCCCTCTCCCCACTCTCACCATCCCTTTATCTCAATGGTCCTCTTTCTTCTCCATCCTTTAGTGGCACTCAACTTCACTGACTGTAACTCTCTCCTCCTTTTTCTTTCTCCCTGCACTGCTATGCGAAGTCATGGTTTTCCCAACAAATAAACCAAAGGTGTACAGTGTGCCACTCACTACCTTTGTGACTTTTCAGACAAGCCATTTGATCACTACTGGCCTCAGACTCCACATCTGTACAATGAGGATAAAGCATGCCTACACTACTTTAAAAAAATGTCAAAGACAAAATGAAATAACCTAAGCAGTGTCTCTGCTTCCAAGAGCAGTCAATACCCAACAAAGATGGCGCTATTTTCATTATGAATGACACCAGCCTTGTAGAGAATAAGCAGCCAATGGATCTGTGAAAATCCTATTCCACTGTGTGTAATAGTGCAAAGGAAATAATGCCTGTGTGGGTATGTGTGTGTTAGTCTGGCAGAAACCAAGACTGTTCTCAAGCATTAACTTTTGGAATTCATTCTCTAAACACGGTTGTAAAATATGGGTCCTCAGGAAAATAAATGCTGGGCTCGCTACAATTTCTGGGCTGGTGGGGGGGTGTTTTTAAGGTTAATTATTGTATCACATGAGTGATAAACATGTGAGGTGACCACCTGGGGGTAGTAGGGACCCAGCTTTGCAGTTTCATTCTGGACATTTCCTTCTCATCTCCTTCCCGCTTAGTACTCCCCTCCACCCTCCTTTGCAAAACTTTACTACGTATATTTGAAGATAATCATGCACTGTTCTTTCACTCAAATGAGTCTACACCTTAGAACTGTTCACACCATTTTCTTCTAATCTCTCTCATCACAAACAACTTTAATCAATAGTAGTTCTTAAAAAAAATAATGAAAAATAAATGTGAAGAAAAGTTTACGCACTTGTTTTACCTGTATGAGTCCTGGTGTGGGTCTTCAGGTGGTCGGACCGGGAGAACTTTCGCTGACAAGTTTTACACTGGAATGGTTTCACACCTAAACGGACAGAGAAGGTCTAGCCTCGGCCCTAACAATGTGGGCACAGGGAGGCCCACCAGGTCTGCTCTGTGGTAGCTGAAGGACCCTCGGCATTTCCAGCCACACCTGGTCCTCAGAGGTTCCCAATTCCCCAGGCCCAGCAGGAACTCCCTGACCCTGCACAGTGACCTCGAGGACTTGCGTCTGTCTTTGGAAACAACCATTTCTTAACCACAAATATCCAGGGTTTTGTTTTGTTCTGTTTTATTTACCCTAGCCTAGGTCTCAGCTGGAACAGAGACTAACAACAGTGAATCAAACTCTACAAGTCCAATTCTGCCCTCCACTACCCTTGGTTCCTTACTTATGTCTGGTGTTATCAACAGCCACTTGCCGTGGGAATCTCATTTGTTTACAGGGAAAATGTGGACTGTTTCCTAACTTGCCTTTTCTTTTTCTTTTCTTTTATGAGAAAAGAAAAGTCTCCAGGTGAGGAGAGAAAAGTAAACTCAAAAGACTAAATAGATGATATTCTCTCATCCACATTCAATAAGGAAGAGAACTGAAAAAAAAATCAGCCCTAACCCGAGGGCATGTGACTGCCAGCAATGAGAAGTGAACCTACAAACCTGTATGTCTCCTTTGATGTCTTTTGAGCTGGTCTGAACGAGAAAACCTTCGCTCACAGTCCTTGAAGTCACACTGGTAGGGTTTCTCACCTTGAGGAAGACACATACTCTATTTGAGTACAATCCTAGAAATGCAAGCTCAGGAATGGCAACTATTGGGGTTGAAGGGATTCCAAAACGCTTTGAGTGACTTGGGAGTCAGCAGGCAGCTTCTGAGGATAGCATTGTGTACTTTCTGGGCAAGAAAAGACCCAGCTGTGCACATACACATGGGCGCTGAGCTGGGTAAGAACCGGCCCTAACCAGCTCTGCCACTTACAACACCTTGTGAAGTGGCTTCCACGTTGTGAAATGGGGTCAATAATCTGACGACGTCAAAGAATTTATGAATAGATTAAATTAGGCCACCCATGTACAAGGCTCGGGCTGATGCCTAACAGAGGTAAAAAAAATTAATTAAACATGAGTGGTAAATCTTTAGACAAATCAAAACCAAAGAACCTTTAAGTCCTAGATGGAATCCAAGGCAGAATACCAGAATGGATGTGCCTTGAGGCAGGGCCCATGAACAAGTGTTCTGAGTTTTATGGCCCAAAGATTCCATGTTCTATGCTATTGACTTCATGTTCTTGAGTCAAGCATAAATGACTCCAGGATTGTGAGATGCTTCAATTAAACCAATAAATTAAATTTATCCAAGAGCAGCCAGCAGTGGAATTGCTCAATCCCTTCCTCTAATGGATAGCCACACCCCTGTCCTCCACAGAGAAAGTTCAGCCAAACATTGTGAACTGAGTCCTGAGTGCACTAAACAACTGCAGGACCTCTCTCCTCTTAGGAGAATTCTATCTATGTCACAACCTTCTGGGATGGAGTGGAAGCCACCTGGCCGGAGGGGGAATGTTGTCTATAAGTCTTTCCAGGCAGCCCTACTGACTTTTGCCTCCAATCTCTGATGTCTCCCTGGTTCTTCTGTGCTCCCGCTATAGAGGACTTCAACAATCTTGTACTTCGCACACACTCAGTGTCCTCCATCCCTATACCCACATACCTATCCATCGAAAAGTGAACCTGCACTTTCTCTTCAATGCCTGCTTGACAATCTCACAATGAAGTCAAAATTCCTTCCTTCCTTCTTTCCCTCCTTCCTTCCTTCCTTCCTTCCTTCCTTCCTTCCTTCCTTCCTTCCTTCCTTCCTTCCTTTCTTCCTTCCTTCCTTCCTTCATCAAAGGACTGATCCCATAGCAACTAAGATAATAAGCCACAGTCTCAGTCTGTGGTCTGGAAAAATCCTAGAGTCTTTTCTTAGCTTTGGATTTATACCCAGCCCAGTGTCTTCTACCTCACCTCCATAGCCCAAAGGAGACAATACCCCTCTTAAATCCTATTTCTCGTGCTTGCTGTTGATCTTCTGGTCATTCTTTCCTTCTTCTGCCTGACCTCATTAGCTTTGATAGTTAGTCCACACCCTTCCTGCTCCCAGAAACATTCTCTGAAGCCAATAGCCCAAAACTGCTCACTCCCAAGTCCATTCTCAAGTCCTGTACTACTCCAGGCTCTCATTTAGTACACGAGCTTACACGTTCATTTTTTCTTTCCCCACTTTTCAGGTGTGTCTATCCCAGCTCCCAAGTGGACTGGACACTCTTTGAGAAAGAGTGAAAAGGCAGATGTTTGAGTCCAGCTTCCACCGCCTCCTCCCCGCTTGATAATTAACTGAAATAATATATTCAGGTAGCCCAGTTGTTATGCTACTCTGTCCTATTATTATAAATGCAATTGAAAACACTGCACTCTTTCAGGAGGGTGGCTATAGTAAGGTTAAATACCAACCTGTGTACCTTTGTCTCCTGCAAGGAGAACTTTCTTCACCTCCAGCGATCTCAGGGTCTTGGCTACCTTGTTTTCAGCCTTTAAACAGTCATCTAACTTTCACTGATCTGTAAGTGTCTCTTTCTTAGGAAAAGTTTCTACAGCCATATTGCCTTCATACATTCCCATTCCCGTTTCCAGGCAGAATTCTACTATTTTCCTTACAACCTTGTGAAAATAAGTGTAATTAGAATGTGCCACCAATATTCTCATTTTAGCCTCAGTCTGTGGCCCACTGTGTATAAACTCTCAAGTCTCTGCCAGAATTACATCCTCCATGTGCAATGATCAAGCCAAGTCCTTCAGCTTCCCAGCATGCAAGTCAGCAATAATAATTATTATTAATGATGATGATGATGATGATGATGATGACATTAGTCACAGCATGAAGCTGTCCTCTTGCTCAAAGCTAACTTGGACATACTTACCAGTGTGCTTCCGGCTGTGCATCTGTAGGTGGGACAGCTTAAAATATCTCTTATTGCAGCCCGGATAAGCACACATGAAGGGGCGTTTCTCACTGGTTTCAGATGCTGACCGGACAAGAGTTGGGGCTACTCCAGGCACACGCCGCACATCCTGAGAGTGTAAGAGGCACAGAGATTTTAAGCCACGGTGAACATACAATTCAGTCCCAAGGGAAAGTGCCCTTGTAATACCACTCCAGGAAGGAGATCTAAAACCACTTCCATCCACACCCCCAGATGCTTGTGACAGACATCACTAATGGATAACAGATCAAGACATGCTGTGATACAGAATTCTAATGTCATCATTACTGATTTAACAGAACTGAGAATTGAAGTGCAGCTTGTTTGAGGTCTCTGACATTGATGCTGGTGCCTGAAGGAGCTCCCAATCCATCCAGTGTCTCTGCATCTGCGCTCAAGACAGTAAGGTCTAGAGTCTAGAGTCCCAGATTAGATCTACTCTTTCCCAACTGGAGACCTGATCCTGTGACCTTGTGTTTAATCTGCAAATGAGTAGGGAAAGTCTTATTAGAGGGGGGAAAAAGTGAGCTATTCAGCAAGCCTTAAACTGATCCAGACTTCCATAGGTAAACAAATGATGACAAAGGTCCCCCTGAATTGGATGTCCCTTGTCTGTGAAGGGAAGCTGAACCCACCAGCACCGCCATGTGTAGCCAGAAAACCCTTTTAAAAACCCCAGAGAACACTGGACTCTGTCTGCCTTCTGAGTACTTCTGTGTCCTTTCCTTAAGAGCTTGTTTGGAGGTTCTAGCAGGGGAGCGCAGCTACTCCTATACCCTTGACCCAAGGCCAGTCCTCCTCTATCAGGGATGGCCGTTCTCTTTCACCGAGTGCACAGCTTTGGGAGGGACGCACATGGAGTGGTGAAGGAGGAAGGAGACACCTGCCTAGCCAGCCAGATCAGCCGAATCAACCCTGGCAATCAATGGGGTGACAGATGTCACAGCCAGATTGCCCTCACATCCTTCTGTGTCCTTTCCAGGGCCTAGATTGATAACTTTTTTACCTAGTAGGAGAGAAAAGCTGTCCTTCACATCCTTAGGTTCAGTGAGTCATGCACATTTGGGAAGGTAAGTACCCTAAAGGGCCACAGAGCTTCCCTGTCCAGTCACAGATGGGCATGTCAAGGGCTCATCCATGTTTGCATCAAGACTAGAACACTTCTGAGCTTAACCAATCCCTGCCTCATGTTTTCCACTCTATTTATGCTAATGTTCTCTCTGCTATGTCACATTGCCTTGCACTTCCATTTTTGCAAAAAGTGCTATAGTATAATGACATACAACATTGTGTCAATGGGTCAGTGTCCCAGGACAAATAAAATGGCATGCCAGCAGTTTGATTGGTGAACTCGAGAGAAAATCAGCAGATAGTGAAACACTAAGTCAGAGTTTATTACAGGCAATGACAGAGAATCTGACAAATGGGGTCTGGTGAGCAGGAAGGCAAGGACATCTTTTCGCAATTCCTTTCATTATTCAAAATGCAGGGCATGTGGGAATAGGACATTTAAAAAATGAGTTCTTGATGTCAGTCAGAGTCCGGGTGAAATGATGGATGCTGGCGCTATCTGTGGGGGAGAATACTGACACCTTTGTGGATCTTCATCGGATCTCTGTGTTTCTGACACCTGAGCTATTATTTCAACCTGAAGGAATACACTTTCATGACACTTCTTGAAACTAATCAGGACAGTTCAGAGCTACTTGCCCACATTGGAGCATGGCCCACAAACAACTTATTTCTAGGCCATTCTATATCGATGATGGTAGCACAGCTGTTATGCTTACTGCAGCCACTGAGCCAACAAATGTAATCATGGATGGTCTCATGGTAATCATGGATGGTCTCAAAGAGGCTCTTTGGAAGTGGTCTTCCATCATTTGTACTGAGTTCTCTGAAATTATCTCCTTTTCTATTTTATTTTCTTTACTCTCCCTGAAGGCTTCTCCCTCCTCCAAGCTGCTCACAGTCTCTGTCTCCCTAAGAAGCAGCACTATGTAATCATAAAAAACAGGGGTTCTATGGGCTGCAAAGTTGGCTCAATGTTAGAGTGCTTGACTTGCATGCATGAGGCCCTGGGTTCCATTCCTCAGCACCACATAAACAGAAAAAGTCAGAAGTGGTACTGTGGCTCAAGTGGTAGAGAGCTAGCCTTGAGCTGAAGAGCTAAGGGACAGCACCCAGGCCCAGAGTTCAAGCCCCACAACAGAAAAAAAAAAAAAAAACAACAGGAGTTCTAGACTCAGACACAACATGTATTTTAGGTCAGTCTTGGTTCCATTACTAACTATAGTGACTTGGGACAAATCAATCATATGTTTTCTCATATGTAAAATGGAACTGACAACAGTACCCACCTCCAAGTGTGTACTGAGGATTAAATGAGGGCCACATGTAAACATATAGGAATCTGAAATGCACAGGGCTAAATGGAAGAAGCCAATCTAGAAATGAAGCTACATAAATATGTTTCCAACTACATGACATCCTGAGAAAAGGTCTGTGGTTATTGGGAGAAGAGGGAACAGAAAGGATTGTAATGAACGGGTGGAGTATTGAGTGTTTTTGAGGTGATAAACCTGTTTCAGATGATACCATACTGAGATACATGGCATTAGACATTTATAAAAACCCATGGAACTATAAAACACAAAGAGTGAACCCTCATATAAACCACGGTCTGTAGTTACCAGTAATGTATCTGCATTGGATCATTAATTATGAAATGTCTTATACCCAATACAAAATGTTACTAATGGGGGAAACTGTGAGGGCGAAAGGGAACTCTCTGTTCTTTCTGTGAGATTTTTATGTAAACTTAAAACTCAGATAAAGTCCATTTCTGTGAGTCCACGTATAAAGCAACACATGGGAAATGTCCAGCCATAGGTGTACTGCAGTGATTACTCTTATCAACATTTGGCAAGATCACTGACAGATGACCTCTGAGCCGTTTACAGTGCAGCCCAGATCTTAGAAATGGGTCTCCATTGTACAACAGCCCACCCTGGAGAAGGATTTAAGCAGCAAAGGAGATGAGAATGGGGAAGCATCTTGGTTCCAGTCAGACAGGAGATGGCATTTCTTAGCAACGAGGAGGTACCTGACCAGCCCCAGTGGGTACAAAAATTTGCCCAGGCCAGATGATCCATTAAGCCAGGAACTGCAGGACACTTGAGCAGGGAAAGAGGCAGTGAAGGCAGCTTCCAGTCTGGTCCTCCAGTACTCACCTGAATGCCTCGGAACACGCCATGGGTATGTATTCTGTACTGAGCCCCACAGAGGATAGGTGTGGTGTGGCTCTCGCTCTCGTACCCTGTGCCATGGCTGCAAACACAGAAAAGGGAAGCTGACGTTCAGGTTAGCTCATGGACCCACCTTTGAGAAATGCTAACTGTCAAGAAAACGTAACTCTTTTAAAAGTCCACAGCATGAGAATAGTGGGTCTTTGCTTCCCTCCAGGAGGCTAGTCTGTCTAACTCTCCTGTCCTCACCATGAGGCCTTCCCTCACCCCTCGATGCTGGCAGGCTCCTTGTGTGGATCTGGGTCTCACTCAGACATGCTGAGAAAAGCCCCAGTGGCAGATTTCATCCACAGCGAGTTGTTTACCATTTGAATGGTGGGCTGACAGCCACGGATATCTCAGGAATGAGCAGAATGCCTGGAGCTGAGTATGAAATGCGTTGGATTGTTGTCGGCACCTCATGACTCACATGTTACCAGATAGCACCAAGAAAGTGATGAAACTTACAAGAAGAGATGTCACGTCTTGGGTGGGGGGGGGGGGGAACAAAGCTGCAGCCTTGTTCCACTTAACCTGCAGATCAGCTTTCCCAATCAACTTAACTCTTTGTAGCCAAACTATGCCAGGTCATCATCCTCCAGCATAAGATTCACTGGTCCCCTAGTCGGTGCTCAGGTGAACTTGGGACCAACTAGTAAGACCGGGGGGAATGTAGAATGTTGAAAGAATAATTTGGAAAAAGTGGTTGATCGGCTGCACAAATACTCTTTCCTTTAGGTACAATCCTGTCTGGTATCTATTCTGCAGTGATTCTATTCCCAGATGAAACAGAGCCAGGACAATGAGCCATGCTGGCAACACATTAGAATTACACTAAGAACCACCATGGGGATGGGGATGCTTTGTGAAACATCTCTGTAAAATGGTGCAGCTGCTTTGGAAAGTGTCTGGCTGTCTTTCAAAAAAAAAAAAAAAAGATCTAAAGTTTCCACATGACCCAGAAGTTCTGGGTCTATACCCAAGGGGAATAAAAACAGATGTCTATATAAAAATATATATCCATTGTTCACCAACAGTATAATTGTTTAGTAATAAAAGCCCCATATGAGAATCAACCCAAATGTGGATCAACTGGGGAAGGCACAAACAAAATAAAATATATTCACACGATGGAATATTATTTGGCAATAAAAAGGAACAAAGTTTTGATTTGTGCCCTGACAGGTACCAACCTTGAAAACATTATGCTAAGTAGAAGAAATTAATCCAGAAAGACCACTTGATGGATGACTCTATTTATAGGAAATGTCTTTAAAGGAGCAAATCAATAGAAAGTCACATCGTGATTGATTGCCATTCCAACCCCCTCCAGAGCTGAGGGAGTTGGAGAGATGTGGAAAGTTCAAATGCCTTAAAATTGCAGGAATAATCATACAAATCTGGGAATGTAGGCAAGCCTAGAACGCTCACTGTTCATTCTAAAGGGGCAGACGGTATGGTATTCAGATCAATAAAGTATCTTAAAACAGTATGCATGAACTTTTTTTAAGCCTCCAGGGAAAATTTACTGGCTATTGGGATTAAGAACCTGTATTCTCTGCCTCTCTTACTGTAGCAGTTCCAGAATTGTAGGGCAGTAGGCAGATGACCTGGCAAAGCTCTCTGATGGCCGGGGGCTGCCTGGACTCACTTACCCAGGGGAGAAAATTCCTAGAAGGAAAGATTGAGCATCTGCCAGGACAACTGCAACGTCCACACAGCCTGGGGGCCACCACAGCTGTGGGGTTTCACATGTTATCCACGCATGTAGAAAGAACTGTCTGCCTACATTGCATAATTGGGGGGACAAGTAGCAATTCTGTTCTCTCAACTGGCAGTACCTTGTCTTTCGTTCCCACTTCAGTTGATTTTTCTCATTATCTTGGGCAAGAAGAAGGGATGGCACAAAGAACTAAAAGTAGTGTCAAACATGCTGCAATTGGGGAAAAAAAATGCCAAACCTAGACAGCACCTGCCTTTCTCACCCATCTTTAGAATGGGCTCATGGAGAAAGCAAGGCCCTGCTCCCTTCCTGACTAGCATATTCACAGATGGGGGGGGGGAAGGGGAGAAAGGGAGGAGGCTGTCCATGGCATGTGCAGAAGCAGAAAGGAGGCAGGGCCCGAATGGAATGGTCAGGACATGGCCTCAAAGGCTATGAGGAGAAGCCGTAAGAAGTGCTATAGTTTCTGCATGTGACACACAGGGTCTCTAGGGTTAAGGGTTGTGACATTAGTGGCGATCAGAATTATTTCCAAGTTTTGCCATGAAATAGGATGAACAGGAATTTGTCTTTCTCTGGGTAATGTGTTTTCCTCAAGATAACTTGTCCAGTGACATCAAATGTTGCGTAACTCAGAACATTAATCCTGGCATCCAAATGCAAGCCATCCAATGAAAGAAACAACCATCAATAGGACTGTAACTGCCAACCATGCTTCCCGATTCTTCTTTCTGTGAATAAGAAAAACACCTGGTTCCTGCCTATTGGATCTTGTATTTCCAAAAGACAAATGACAATTCAAGTCCACCTGGTGATTAGTCAGCTTCCCAATGTGATCTTCCCAGCGTACCACACAAAACCCATAGGCATTTAATTAGCAACAACTCTTTCTAAACAAGCAAAGAAATACAAGGTGGTGGTCTTGGAACTATATACTAACAGAGGTAGAAAGGGACCTAGGAAAGTCATGCGTTCTACTGCCTTTCAAATCAAGAATCTCTTCCACTTCGGGCTAACAGTTGTATGAAATGATTGGAAATAGTTTCTAAGGCAGCTTATGCTATCTGGGAAGTTTTGATTATAGGAAAGGATATCCCAAACCAAGTTGAGTTCTACCTCTTTCTATTTGCCTTCTAGGCTAACTATTGAGTGATTATCACTACGTTAAAGCTGTCTCTGTACATCTTCTCTGCATGGTGGTAACTTTGGCCTTGAGTGTATAGACTCTTCAACCCTCTCCATCTTTTACTTCAATGACTAAAGTAGGCACATGGCTCATTAGTGTTTTCAATATGGACTGAGACTAACTCTTCTTCCATATTACAACCCTTCAGACATTTGAAGATAACATGCTAGGCTACCGAGCTGTATTCTCTCAACTATGACAATGTGAATCAGAGTCTTCATTCTTTTACTATCCCAATTGTCCTCTTCTGGGTCCTCTTCATTTTGTTAAGTCCTTCTTAAAGAGACAACTCAGGATAGATCTCAATGCTGCAAAAGTGTGCTTCTATACAAGCTTTAAGAATCAAGACACAGCAAGGTACTGGTGCTCACACCTATAATTCTAGCTACTTGGAAGCTGAGATCTGAAGATTGTAGTTGGAAGCCAGCCAGGATAGAAAAGTTTGTGAGATTCTAATCTTCAATTAACCACCAAACACCAGAAGTAGAGCTGTGGCTCAAATGTTAGAGCATTAACCTGAGCAAACAGAGTTCAGGGACAGTGCCCAGGCCTTGAGCTCAAGCTCCAGGATAGCACCCCTAAAAAAAATCAGGACAGAGCTGGGTGCCAGTTCTAATCTTAGATACTCAGGAGGCCAAGGTCTGAGAATAACAGTTTGAAGCTAATCCAAGCAGGAAAGTCCCCAGAGTACTCATCGCCAATAACCACTAAAAGGCTAGTAGTATAGCTGTGGGTCAAGTTGTAAAGTATCTGCCTTGAGCAAAAAAGCTCAGGTATAGTGCCCAGGCCCTGAGTTCAAGCCCAAAGAGTGGCACCAAAAAAAAATGAATCATGACAGTAATATAAATGCTTAAAACTGGTGACCTCACCCCTCAGTGAAGGGATTACACTTCAGATCTTTCTAAATCAATATGCCAGTCAAACATGGTAGTCATTAACACATCTAAGAGCAAGTAACTTCATTGCACTCAGGTCATGGTGCTCTTCCTCAGTCAAATCAAACCTCCAATTCCCCACCTTCATCCCTTTCCCTGGCATCACCTAAGGTAGATACCTATAATCCAAAGTGAAATTGAGGGCTATTCTTCATATTTCATTCTAATTCTTCACAGGTCATCCCCAAATGCTGAAATCTTTTTCCAATCTGGATTATTACTTACAATACATTGGTTTTCCATCTCTATCTCATCTCACCTTTGCTTACAAAGCACCTTTTCTGAGTCTTCATAAGAGGAAACAATCTTCCATGCTGTTAATGGGGCCTTGTATATGTACAACACACATAAAAGATGTTTTCGTGGTAGTGGATGAAATGATAGGATTCTAGAAAGTCTCTCTTCGTGAGGAAATTCAGTCACTTGGACCAAGTACAGTCCACTGAGGCAACCATCATCAAGAGTTAATCCTGGGTAAGGAATGTGGCTTAGTGGTAGAGTGCTTGCTTAGCATGCATGAGGCCCTGGGTTCAATTCTTTGGTATCACATAAATACAAAAAATAAATAAAGGGCTGGGAAGGTGGCTCAGTGGTAGAGTGCTTGCCTTGTAATGCATGAGGCCCTGGGTTCGATTCCTCAGCACCCCAAAAGCAAAAAAAAAAAAAAAAAGCCGGAAGTGGCAACTGTGGCTCAAGTGGTAGAGTGCTAGCCTTGAGCTGAAGAGCTGAGGGACAGCGCCCAGGCCCAGAGTTCAGGCCCCACAACCGGACCCAAAAACAACAAAAACAAAAGAAAAAGAAAAAGAAATAAATAAAATTATTTGTTTTTAAAAAAGAGTTAATCCGGGGCTGGGAAGGTGGCTCAGTGGTAGAGCGCTTGCCTTGCATGCTCAAGGCCCTGGGTTCAATTCCTCAGCACCACATAAGCAAAAAGAAAAAATCTGGGAGTGGCGCTGTGGCTCGAGTGGTAGAGTGCTCGCCTTGAGCTGAAGAGCTGAGGGACAGCGCCCAGGCCCAGAGTTCAGGCCCCATGACTGGACCAAAAAAAAAAAAAAAAGAGTTAATCCTGTAGGCTCAGGAAGGTAATGACTCTTGTTGGGACAGCCACTAACTTAAGACAGTCAAATAAAGCCATGCTTTTCTAAGACAGATCTGGTAACAGTATCTGGGAACCATGCTGTGAATAAACCAAGCAGGAA